AAAAGCATGTACACAGCAGTACAAAGTCTTTGCACAGAGGAAGAGGAAAAGGAAATAAGTATCCCAAGCAGTTTTCCAGGTCTTTCATCTCCCTCCCCTCCCCATCTCCTCTATTTTTTGGGGGCCAAGACTATGTTTGATTTCTCCTGAAAAAAAAAGAAAAATACATTTAATCAGAACAACTGGAACTTTTTTCTCTGGATCAGGAAAGCACAGGTCAACACAAAAAAAGACCAGCAGTTGCCCTGAAGAAGCATGCCCACCCCACTACCTCCCTGAGGAAGCGAGGCCCTGTCTTACTGTTACTGCACGTTCTTACACTACAATAAAACATGCTCTGGACTAGTGGTCTCCCAACCAGGGGCTGAACACCCTGGGGATGTCCAAGGCAATCCACTGGGAGGCAGGAAGAAAATATTAGAACTTCTGCTTATATTTTATCTAAAAAAAGTTAGAAAGAAATTAAGCTTTACTAATATTTAATATGTCTTGACACTAGCACCGTCATTTGGTCCATTTGTCAGATGGTCATATACCACGTAGACAGTACACAAGGTATCGTTGGGGAAGAGCAGGTGCTTCACAAGGCAGAGGGGCGTTGACAGTGGCACCCTCACTCATTTGTTTGCTTTCAGCATATTGCGACATACTGCAGTTCACATGTGCCCTGTTAAGTGGCTCTATGGATTATATTATCTAGCTGTAACTAAACTAACCTTCACAAAATGACCAAGTGGCTTACAAAGATTCCTGAGAAAAACCCTGCAGATTGAAGGTAATACTAATAGCTTGAGCACAAACAAGAAAGCCTCAGAGCTGACACTTCTGCTCCTAGTACGAGCCCTTCCTCACACACATTGCATGGTAATATCAATGACTATCTATTCAGATTTGAAAAAGTTGGCCAAAAAAAAAGTCAAAATTATCAAAATGACTGTTTGAAATACGAATTTACATCCACTATCGCTAATAATCAACCTTACTTTAAGCATATATTGTGCCTTTATGCGTTAGCTAATAACAGTATGAATCCATCATGATCAGCACGGCATTTTAAAAATAACCATCCAGGACATGAAGACAAACCTTTACAAGTTTTTTTCAGCTATGTTTAAAGTCAAGTCATAACTCAGTCCAGTACCTTACAAAATTCCGTAGAAAACATTGCTGAAGATTTAAAGAAACAAGTATTAGAACAAGTTATGGGATGTGGGAAGTTTCCTATACAATTGCATGAAAATACAGATGTTCCTATCATGTCTCAGCTTATGTCTCAGCAAATCTAGGTATTCACTACATTTTTAAATTATTAAATACATGAAGAATAACTATTTTTATGAATCACTAAAGGAAAGAAGTACCGGAGAAGATATATTCTCAATAGTAAACAGCTCCTTAAATAAAAAATATGTTTTATAGAAAAACTGCCCAAGTGTAACCACTGATGGACTGGCTGCTTTGACTGGAATAAAAAAAGAATCCCAGGGTACAGTTACAGAGATAGTGAAATTCATTCACTGGACCACTCATGGGCAAGCTCATACAGCAAAAAGTTGGAGCCATAAGCGCACAAAGTGCTACAAGATGTCATCAATGTGATTAATTTTATAAAACCAAGACCTTTCAACACTAGAATCTGTACAGTACTTTGGAAAGACATGGGGAGTGACCATGGAAGTCTTTTGTACCACAGAGATTCACTGGGTTCATGGCAAAGTGCTTACAAAAAAGATGAGTACATATTTTTCTTTCACAGAAAGACAAGCAAGTGTTCCAAATCTGCTGACCTTTTCTTTGATGAAAAGGGCCTGTCAGTACTATGCTACCTAGGCCAATATTTTAGAAAAATAAAAAAACATTTAATCTGTCTCTTCAAGGTAAAGATGACATTTTAACAATGAGTGAGAAAATAACTGCTTTTTTAAAGAAACTCATCAAACGTGATTTTGTTGCAGTAAGTGGTGCAAAGGTGTCACCTATAAAAAAATCTCATACTTCTACAATCAAACTCAGAAACAATTTTCTAACCTGTTTCTAAAGATCTTCCAAATGAAGAGTTTTAGCGGGTTTTCAATAAATATGTTAAAAACCACAAAAATTTGAGACCTTCCAGTTAGCTTGCAATAACCACTGACTCATCTCAGGGGAGATGGAAACTTACTATCTGAATTCTAACACCTTTGCATAACTAGTGGCTGGGATTGAAAAATGAGCCTCGCTATTTAGTAAGCACAGCCAGCAATGCACTTCTACCATTTGGATCTATGTATCTTTTTCAGCAAGAGCAGCCATTAAAAACCAAGTGCCAAAATAAATTGAATTTAGAATCAGACTGTTGAATCTCTGTACTGCAGTATTCAACCAAGATTTTCAAAAATAATGAAGCATATTCCACAGCATCACTTAGAGTTATTATTTTTCTAGTGAGAACAAAAAGGTATTTTGTACCACTAAAAATATTTTTAAATTCTTTACTTAATCTGTATGTCACCTTTTTTAATTTATTTTTTCATGTACTTTATTAGTGCAGCAGTACATACCTAGAATTTTTAAATATAGAGTAGAGGTGCATGCTTCAAGTGTTTTTTTTTGCATCTAGCTCTGTGTCTAAGACAGACACAGACCTGGTAGAAAGGGTCCAGAGGGCCACAAAAACGATCAGAGGGCTGGAACACCTCTCCTGTGAAGAAAAGCTGAGAGAGCTGGTGTTGTTCAGCCTGGAGAAGAGAACTCTGGAGAGGCCCCTTCAATATATAAAGCGGGCTTATAAGAACAACAGAGAGAGATGTTTTACCAGGGCCTGTAGTGACAGGACAAGGGGCAACAGTTTTAAACTGAAAAGGGTAAGTTTAGATTGGACACAGAGAGGCAGTAGATGCCCCATCCCTGGAAGACGTCAAGGTCAGGTTGGACAGGGCTCTGAGCAACCTGATCTAGTTGAAGATGTCCCTGACTCGTGATCTTTAAAGGTCCCTTCTAACACCAACTGTTCTGTGATTCTAAGATTCTACCATAAAAATTCAAATTTGATCCATTGCTGGAATACTATTAGCAGTAATAAATTTGACATCTGCTACTTTTAACACTAACATACTGTGCGGTCTCTTCTGTTCTGTATCAAGTTTAAGACACTCTACACTGGGATCAATTAAAACCTATTTGACTGTAGTCTGGCCTGCAGCAAAAACAAAATATCCAGCATAAAGCCCAGGCCTGAATTCCAAGTAATTCAAAGTAAAAAACAAACAAACAAACAAACAAAACAAACAAGCAAAAAAACCCCACCCAAGCCTCATCAGAAAAAGCAACTTAATTCTGTAGTACTGTTCAGATCAGCAGTCAGGCTCTTTTTAAATTGACTCCCGTCCACTCT